ACTCCCCAAAGAGAGAAAAGTGGGTGAGTTTAGGTGATCTGAATGTTTCCACTGCAGATCAGGAGTTTGTCTCTGATTTCTCTGAGCAAAGTGCTCTGTGTGGATCTCACAGTCTCTCTCCAACAGTCAGAAACTATCGCTCAGGTGAGGAGAAAGTCACTATGATCACTATTACAGAGCACTAAGAGCACCAGAACGGAAACTAGAACGGCACCATCGATATTTCTACAATTAGCACTTTGTAAACACTTCACAAAGGTGATGTTAGCTAACTAGGAAGCTAATGCTAACAGTCTCAGCATGTGTGCTAGCAGCTAGAGAGTGTTTTTGTTAGTATTGTCCACATTCAGATTTAAAACATTAACAGTTCCTGAGGTTTGTAGCTTTACATTTTCACACTGTTCACTAAAATAACAGCATCATTTCATAATAATGTCTGATCAGCCTACCTGACTGTGGAACCGCTCTTCATTTAGAGTCACTGTCCTTCTAACACCACACCTCATTGGCTCATCTGTTAACATTTCATTGGCTGATTGGCTCAGATGAATGGCATGGTGTCTATATGGAACTCTACAGCAGTTTTAAAAACACAGGGATACAAAGCGGATAAAATACTGAAAATGTTCAGCTTTAATAACTGATAATTAAACTCACAAAGTATCTTAAAAGGCCACTCAAAGCTCCAAGGACCACCAAGGCTTATATAGCAATGGAAAGAATGAGCAAAGGTCTGTTGTTGTTTACAAGTTTTGTTCCACAGTTGGAGGGAACAGTGACTTTCTTCTACACTGCTGGTGAATAAACGTTATAATAATAAAAGACCTAGTGCTCACTATCGCCCCCCAGTGTTATTTTCCATGTATTAACACGGTACAATTTGTGACATTAACAGTGTTTACATACTACATCAAACTCTCATTTCAAAAAGTGAGAAAATTCAGTTTTCCATGGTTTGGGATTTTTAAGACTATGGATCATGATTCACATGATATTCCAAGCCTCATGTTTATGGTCTGTCTGAAACTCTTACTGTAAATATGAAGACTAGTCACAAAATGCTTGTGGCCTTAAAACAAGCTACAGTGCTAAAACTATTGTTTATATTTTATTGTGCACTCAGAGAAGATATAAAATGAAAAAAGTCTTATGTGGTGAAACATCAAGAACAGCTGGGTTGTAACTAACATGGTGCCTCAGATTAACATCAGTGTGAAGACCATCACTAAACTACTTAGAACTTGTGACAGTAGAGCTGCCTGTTTGTCTGAATTGGTCATGTTTGAACAGTGTGGGTGGATCTTAACAGTCTCAGTTGATAAGAGATTAGATTAAGATCCTGCTCAAATAAACAAAAACAGTTTCTGATCTCCAAGAACAAAGACATTAAACCGAACACTGCTAAACTCCTAAGTAACCTGTCAAACTTTTGGTAGTTCAAACACAGTTTGGGGCTCTAGACTTCTTGTTCATGGTAACTCAGAAAATTAGCATACGCCCACATTACCATGTCAGGAACTCACTAAAAGTTTGCATCAATAAAAAGTTCCCACCCCAGTCACCAGCCCCCCCAGATGATCCACATTTCTGCTCCAATCCAACTCAGAACACACAGAGACGAAGGAGGAATATGACCCATCTGGGGGGCCCTGAGGATCAGGCTGGGAACGGCTGCTCTGGACAAACAAAAACAAAATGTAACATAAAGGATTTCACAACGGCAATTTTTCTTGTGATATTTATTCTGATTGAAATGATTAATGACTCTCAAAAACAGAATTTGTTTTGGAGAAAAAAAACAGAAAAACACAGTTAATGTGTTAAAATAACTGGTTCATCTGCCACAAACCATAAAGAACTGAAGATACATACAGTTATTATAGGTATAAACTTATAGGTACACAGAGTGCTAAAGAACTCACTAACCATTTTATTATTTACATAAGTTGCAAATAAAGAAAAAAACTGTGGTTGAACCAACTGGACATTATAAAGCAGATGTTAAAAGGGGAACAGTCACAATATCAAATAGCCTTGGTCAATTTTCAAGCCAACTACATTCAGAACATAAATCGTGACATTCTGTGATACACTTTTTTATTTGAGAACCTATACAGCTTCATTCCTACATCTCCCAGAATTCATTTGGACTGTTACAGCTGGTGGGGGTGTGGCCATAATTGTGGCCACAAAAAGATTGTGAAAGTGGTATCAGGTGAAAAGTTGAAGCTGCTATAAATACTCCAAGCCGCATTTCTGCAGAGAAATATCTGCGTGTGTTCAAATCACTTTAAGTCAGAAGTTTTCAAGAAGGATTTAAAGTCTGGACTTCTGAACAGCATCAAATCCAGACTGAGCTCTTTCAATGGACACTCAGCAGAAACAGAAGACCTGAGTTAAGGTCAGCTGACTGTAATAATGATGCTAACACTGCTTTAGCTGCTGGAATGGGAGCTCAGATGACAATATTACAAAATGTTTCTCTCACCTCAGCAGTCAGTGGAAATATCAGAGAACTTGTAGAGAGGAGAATTTCCACTCTGCAATGTCTTCCGGGTTTTTCAGACGCTAGAGGGCGCTCCCGAGTGGGTCCAAAATGAATGGGTTGATATGGAGTATTTGAGAAAAAATCATCGTTTATAAATGCTTTAACATTTTTAATGTAAAAGAGTACAATCAAGGAAGTGGCCAGGCTCCTCATAAACTGGCTCTGGAAATAGTTAGAGTTAAATTTGTTTTTCATTCCAGGGGTGGCGCCACACCTCCAAAAGTGGTGGGGCAAAACATACTGGTTCAAGCGGCCGGCTGAGTGACAAAATGCAATAAGACCACTGACTAAAATTGCCTTTCATGTCATGCTAAGGACCCGTCTTTATAAACCTAATCAGAGGTAGTAGCTAGTTACGTTTACTCAAGCACATGTTCTAAAATATTAAACTCTCCTGAGGATTTTCAAATCATATTTCCTCTACTTCTACTAAATTCTTCTGATTCATATTTAGAAACTAATTCCATTTTTTGTGTTTGTGGCAATACTTGTACTACTTTGTGATTGGTTACATCTCTGACTTTGGAGCTTTGAATTTTAGACCCAAATCCCAAAAAGAGTAAAACAGAGCTGCACAATTTTCATTTCCTATACTGATAAATGATGGATGTAGTAAGAAGTTCTACTGCTAAACTCAGTACTTAAGTAGATTTTCGACCTGCTACTTTTATATTTCTACCCAAGATGTTTTGGGGAACGTTCTTATACTTGTGGAATTATTTTATGCAAGTATCAATACTTTTACTTGAATACGAATCTAGGCTAATCTACCCACCTCTGAAGCTGATTATCAGTGTTTGTTTTGATGCTGCTTCAGTAGCTGCAGCCTCAGTTAGCAGCATTTGTTAGCAAACATCTCTCAAGAACGTCAGGCTGTTTTCAAACCCAGTTCATTTTCTACAGACCGCATCAGTTTTTTGTTTTTTTTTGTGATGTGTTTCTCTCGTTTGGTCTGGATGGTGGGCTGCAAAGGCTAAAGTGGGCTAAATTACACAGATGGGTGTTTATTTACTGATCACAAGTTTTGCAGGGATGCAAGCACTCTGTTACTTTTACATTTACCACCATGAAAACCTAAAAAGAGAAAATAGAGACGTGTAACATCTTTGTGAATACTAATGTAAATTTAACTGATCAGGTCACCGATCCTTGGCCAAAGATATACTCCACAGTCCATGTGCCAAATTCAGACGCATATCATTATTTTATTGCTTGTCTCTCGTTATTAACAGCAGCTCACAGTGCAGGAAGGAAATGAGTGTTTGTAAAGAGTGAAATGGTAAAGCAGCAGATTGTGCAGACAGCACAATCAGCGACAATGTGCTCTGGAAAAACGTGTTAAATTTTCTTGTGAATTAGCACAGTTCAGTTGTTTGGTTGCCGATCTGAATTCAGGTAGAATCTCATGTCAAAACCGAACTAAAAAAAGAACCTGACAGTCCGCACCAACCAAGGCTCTGAAAGTGCCTCCCAGCTGAAATGGAGATTCTGATTGGCTCTCCCGCTCAGTTTTACTCTGTCTGTTTGTGCTGGTCAGAGCTACGTGCTGTTTAGGGGAAGCAGAGGGTTTGTTTGAGCGTCCTAAACTAAAACAAAACGGGGTTGTTGCTCCAGTATTTTGAAAAGTGGTGGGTCAAATGCCCACAGTGGTTCCGGCGGCCCAGGTTCATTCATAAGCTGAACATCAGAATTAACTCTGAAAACGTAAACACATCGCTAGACTCTGCCATATTAAACTCCATCTACTACTGTGGCTAGTTCTGTACTTCTGGTTGGATATACAGCACCTGTGTGACTGTTTCCCTTTAATTTTACAAACATCTAAAACATATTTGTGTGAGAGGGGTTATAAGCAGGTTATACTTCAGGTTTTAAAAACAGGCCTCATGAATTTGTTCTGATCTCTCCAACAGACACATTCAGTGCTGATCAGGAAGGACAGAGAAATGTAGAGAAACACTGACAACATTAAAATATAGATGCTGAGTACAGATTCTTCTAGACTGCTGTGGACATTAGGGTGACACTAGATCTTCACCTCAGACTTGTTGAGCTCTGTGTGTCTTTTGCAGAAAATCACACACAGCAGGGGGTCTACAAGAACATTCAGACTCATCAGAGAAACACCCATCACAAACACATAACAAGAATACTTAAGATACCAAGAATCAAAAATATACATGATGGCCCACGTGCTGGTAAACGTCCCATACAGGATCACTGTGGATGTGACTAAAGCTAACACTGTAGAACTCGGCTTCTTGGTTCTGTAAGCGAAGTCGCTGATTTGGGGTGGAGCTCTACAAGTGACTATACATGATATCAGTGTTATAATTAAAAGAAGTGGCAGACTGAATAATACGAGAGGAGTCGCCCTGAAAAACTCACAGAGGAAGAAACAAATGAACGCAGTGATGGAGACGATGATGGAGCTAGAATTAAAGAAAGCCTGAGCAGAGCAGAGTGGACGTCTCAAAGAGAGAGCGCCCTCTAGAGCCACCACTTGTTGGAGGTGAAGTCCACAGATCATTGATCCTGACCATAAAGAGGTAAATATCCTGCATGTTGTGCTCGTCTCCCAACAATGATCATCCTGCAGCAGTTTAGTCACTATGTATGGATTCAGAAGCAGCACCAGCAGGTCACAGAGAAGAAGCATGATGACCAAGGCTGAGATTCGGCCTCCACTCTTATGATGACCATACAGAACACACAGAGCCCAAACTAGAGCTGGCAGACCCCCACACTCTCCAGCAATGAGGAAGATGGACAGTCTGATCTTACCATCCAGACGCTCTTGTTGAATATCATACCGAGGATATGCAGAGCGGGAGAACAAGATATGAGCCATTCTTTTTACTCAGTCACTGAATCAGTCGTTTCTTTTATCCTGTGATAAAAATATCAGGTGAAGATCAATTTAGTTTACAGTAATAATATGTTTAATACTGTAAAGACTGTCATGGTTGTACTACTTACTGTATTGATACTGTGGTCTCAGCTCTCTGCAATCACTCAAGTGCAAACAACCTCAGAGTTTTTATAGAGTCTATAAAAATATGAAATTATTATTATTATTATAACTTCAACAAGGTTCATGGTATTGATGGGTCATAATATGTTAAACTAACAGATCTAAAACAGTAAGAACAGTAACAGTAGAGCAGTAGATCTTCCTACATTCATATTCAGTTAACACTAAAGTTTAGGATAAAGATCATGACCTCACTCCTCTCACATCATTAAAATCCAACTATACATACACACTCAGTACGGACTGATTCATGTTGTTTACTCACACCTATCACTATAATAAATAAATAAATAAATAAATAAATGAACAAATAAGCAAAAGAAATGATTGGCTCAATACATTAATAAATAAATATTAATAAATAAATATATATATATATATATATATATATATATAATAAAAGTGTAATAAAAATAAAAGCTAAAGTTTATTTAATTTTCTAAGTGAAAATAAGTACTCTATGGAGAACACATGAACATAATTTAATTTTTTTTCTGGATTTAATATATTACACAAAATAAATCAGAAAATATGGCCTGTGAAAAGTTATGGCACATTTTACATGTTAAACTCAATTCAAATGTGCAGAAAATTTCCATATTCCAGTGTGTTCTCTGTAGAGGATGTGTTGACTTACTCTCACTTTGAAAATAAAAAAAACTAAACAATACTAAACTAAACTAAAAAAAGTAACTTGACCAGACGTGCTCAAACTTATTAACATAATTTCTTTTGCTTTTGTTTCTGTATTAATTTATTACTCTCTGTATTTCAGTTTTTATGTATTCATTTATTGTTTTCATTCATTTAGTCATTTCTATTTTTACCATTTTCAGCTGTATTTTTCATATTCAGGCTTAGCAGTCAAGACCAGCGTGACAGTTACAGAAAGTAACTATTATATTTAAGCAATAGAACATCAGAGGGAGTGTGTTATCCCGAAATAACATCACGGCTGTGATTTGGTCGCCATAGATCATCACAGCTGTGATTTTATTTGTGATAACACAACCTTGAGTGTTCTATTGCTTTTATACAACAGTTAAATAAATAAACTAAGAAATTAATAAACTGGGCCGTGAACGCGGCATTTAAAAAGTTTTAATGTTAGGGATTCCTTCTGCCAAATTATAGTTTCTTAACAAGCAGCTTGTTGCTACGTCAGAGTAACGAACTCCACTCACTCACTGCACAGTCTGCTGTAAGCTTCACCTCTTGAAGTACAGACTGAGCCGTAAAACTGCAGAAATATCAAGTTTAGCTCAGTTTTGTCATTTTTTGCCAGATCAATATTAATGTTGTTTTGTTCCAGCCAGTCTGTAAAGCATCTTACAGCCCATTTTTTGCCAAAAGGTATTCGGTTCATGTCTGGCTGATTCCAGGTTGTTTAGGTGTTCTTCTGTCACAGCTGCTGACTGAAAAGCTGCTCAGTGGTGAACAGTTTGGGAATTCAGTGTAGTCTCATTTTCAGAGTCTGACCAAAATCGGCTGTCGGTCAAATGTGATCTTAAATGTATCCATTTTCTGTTTGTGGCAAAGTAAGAAGTAAAAACGTTCAAATGGCTTCAGCGTCTCCTACAGCGGTCAAAGTTGTTGCTTAATACAGTGTTTGTGAAAAAAACGTGCTATTATGGTGAAACTACAGCACGGTTAGAACGCTTCTTAACCAATCAGCTTGCGTGGCCGGAACTAACTGTTGTATAATATGTGATAATTTATGAAAGTTAGTCCTGACCTTACAACCTGATTGGGTGAGAAGCGTTCTCACCGTGCTGATATTTGTGGTAGCAGCATGGCTTTTTCACACCAACACTGTATCACTCCGCTGACGTGTTGCCGAGAAACGACAAGCTTTACCTTAGTTTTTTTTGTATTTGTGCAAAACGAGACATTGATCAAATGGATGATTTTAAGATCACATCTGACCTGCAGCCCGTTTGGCCGGACTCTGAATAAGTCTGTCTGCAGATGAACATCAAATTCTGAATCTTCCATTACCATGAAAACTGTTAGGTCGACTGCAGTGACGGCAGAACAACTGAACACAGCGGTAAATTTGGTTTTATATTAGAGATTCAACATACATTCACACTTCCGATGTCAACAGTGTTCAGTGAGAGCATGTGACGAAATTTTCTCTTACATATTCCTTCTCCACAGAACACAAGCTCAGGACTACAATATTTCTTTTTACTGTAATTGCTATTTAAAAGAAATTCTCAAACCATTACCCAAATTGATTAGTGCATTAAACATATTTTCATGTACAAAAGTAAGGGACCATCATCAAAGCGCGTGTCCTTATGTACAAGTCTTGAACGTCAAAACCTCAATAGTGTCTATACTGTAGGTCCAGCTGAAACCCAAGCAAGACCTTCCTGTCTGATAGAACAGTCTTTAGTGCCTTGTGACTTGCTATTTAAATTCAGTGTTGTGTTAATTTATGATTAATATTCTATGCACATAAAAAACAAAAGCTTCTTTACTGTAAGGCCTAAAATTTTACGACCAAATGCATTAAAGTGTGAGCTATTATTGCAACTTACTGCAAGTAGAATTTGAACTGTGTTAAAGTTTAAAACATTTGTCACACAATAATCATTAGTTTCTTTATTCCAGGGCCTACAACTGTGAAACCAAATGCATTATAGACCATCCAATCAAAAATAAATCATTAGCTACTTTACTGTAGGGATCAAAATTGTAAAACCAAATGCATTAATAAAGAGTACCACATAACTGCAACTTAATAAGCAGAATTTAAAGAAAGCCTTGTGTTTTTATTATTAGTGTTTTTATTATTATTATTATTGTGTTTATTATTATTAGTGATTTTATTATGTTTTAAAAATGTATAAATTCAATAGCTATTTCACTGTAGGATCCAAAACTGTAAATCCAAATTCACTAAAAAGTGCCCTGTTGTTGCAGCATCCAACAGCAAGCAGAATTATAATTAATATTTTATATACAAAAATTTTCAGTAGCTTCTTTATTGAAGAGACTAGATTTTAAATGCACTGAGGAGTATTCTATTGTTGTAACTAACTACAGCTAACAGAATTAAAACTGAGTGTTGGATTGAATTCTAATTAATATTAAATAAAAAAAATGAATAGCTTCTTTCCTGAAGGGCCTACACCTTGTCCAACCAAATGCATTGAAGAGTCCCTCATTGTTGTAAAACGACTGTAAAACTATTGTTAAAACTGGTGTTTACTGACTTGCTGTAGTTAGTTGGAATGATAGAACATTGTTTAATGCCTTTGTTGAACAAGTATCAGCCCTACAGTAACTATTGTTTTTTATGTGCATAGAATATTAATCATAAATCAACACAACACTAAATTTGAATTTTGCTGCTGTAGTAAGTTACAATTACAGAAAGGTCTTAGTTGCTTGGGTTTCAGCTGGCCCTACAGTATAGACTATTGAGATTTTGACGTTCAAGACTTGTCCAGAAGAACGCACACTTTGACAACGGCCCCTTACTTTTGTACATGAAAATCTGCTTAATGCACTGTGCAGTTTGGGGTAATGGTTTGAGAATTTCTTTTAAATAGCAATTACAGTAAAAAGAAATATTGTAGTCCTGAGCTTGTGTTCTGTGGAGAAGGAATATGTACGAGAAAATTTCGTCATATGCTCTCACTGAACGCTGTTGACATCGGAAGTGTGAATGTGTGTCGAATCTCGAATATAAAACCAACTTTACCGCGGTCAACTGAACACACTGAAATCGTGTGGAAAAAATCTGAGTACAATTTGGCAAACAAGATGGGCTACAATGTGCTTTACAGACTGGCTGTTACAAAATAACACTCGGGCTAATTTTGCAACACCAGAAAAGGCTGAGCTGAACTTGATATTTCTACAGCTCTATGGCTCTATCTGTACCACAAAAGAGGAGCCTTATAGTATGAGCAGTTATCTTGGACTGCGCACAGGCTCAACAGGCTAGTCCAGGGAGCGGCAACCCAAATGTTAAGAAGAGCCATTTTATCCTTTCAACAAAAATCAAACCTCCTTGGCAGCCACAACATTTCATATCCATTTTACCACCTCGGCTGTAAATATGTCTCTGAATGGGCTGATGTACTAGTATATAAACGTCTCTCAACGTTCAACTTTTTATGAGGCTGAAGTCAGATTCTCACTCGCCAGCTTCACGTTCACATTTTCCCATTCCACCTAAAATGAGACCTGAATGTAACTGCTGCACCATTTAAGATGGAACAGGACAATTCAAACAACAAACTGACTGCAGCTTCATGACTTTTTGATGTTTTACAGTTTCTCACTGCAGATTAAACGTATCAGGAAACCAGCTGGAGTGATTATAAACGCAAATAAGTCCATTCTCTCTGATATTTTATTCTCTCTTCAGTAGTATATTATATTTTAACACTGTTAACCACGAACTGAAAACATGACTAGGTAGAAAAGTCTACACAGACTCTGAATATGAGAGTTGCTAAAATTTCACTGCACACAAATATAGACTTTTATTAAACACGTCTAAACAGTTTCTCTGTCAGTAGAATCTAGAACCAGTTCAGTTCCATATTACACAGCCATGATCTGTTCTTACCTCTGTGATCAGATCTGTGCAGTGTTACTCTGAAAGAGTGAAATGATGATCTGAAAGAACAGAAAAGAAGACCATCACACCCTCTCTCACTCACAGTGACGCAACAAGTGACGAGAGGAACAGGAAGAAAGCAGATACCATTAAGTAGCTGAGAGTCTATCAGCATGAGCTGAACACTCTGTAAGAAAGACTCTCTAAACTGACTTGTTCTGAGTTCTAAACTGTCCTTTACATCTAGTTCAGCTGAAAGTCCAGACACTGAGGAATCAGACACTGTCGCTGCCCAGATTCACTAACTTAATGAAGTGTTTTAGTAAGTTCTAAACCACAGAGTTAAGTCCTCATTACTGTTAACACCAGATTCATCTGAGAATCAATGTAACCACACAGGTTAAAGAGAGCTCTGCCTACTTTTACAGCTCTGTTCTGTGATGGTAACACAAACAGGTACTCGACCAGCGTACTGATAGCTCTGGGTTTGGTTTTGTAGCCGGTCTGTACTTTACTGTACTGCCTGCTGGAAAAATGCTGTAAATATGGCTAATCAGCCTCAATCTACTGGACTGTGTGAGAGGGTAAACCAGGAGCTGGTAAATTCCTTAGACTTTACTGCCAGGATCAAGAGGAGCAGTGGACATGTTATTTGCCCTAAACCTAAACAGCACAGAGCTCTATAACTCACTTATCTAGTGGATCAACACCAGAGTGTGTTTCAGGTTTCCAGTCCCCCAATCACACCCTGACTAGTTTATTAATAACACACTCTTAAAAAGACGGTTCCTCAAGGGTAGTAAACTATCTATAAAGAACCATAAACACTCAAAGAACCCTCTGCATGATTAAAAGGTTCTTTGCATCAAGGGTTTTTCAGACTAATGGAGACATGATGCATGAATGTGCTATAGACAGTTCTACAAGAACCTTTTTGAAAAGGGTTCTATATAGCACTCAAAAGGGTTCTTCTATTGTTACGATGTCAAGCTTGTAACAATAAAAGAACCCTTTTGGGTGCTATATAGAACACTTCTCAAAAAGTTTCCATATAGAACCATCTACAACACGTTCTCCATCGATCTGAACAACTCTTTCATGATGCAGTCATACAAAGGGTTCTTTTAATGTTCAGGGTTCTACATAAAACCATTTTCCTTACTAAAGAACCCTTGAAGCACCATCTCTTATAAGTGTAGGAATACATTTTGAAAAAAAATAATTTTGACAAATAATGGAAAAATTAAATTTCATTAAATGTCAATTTTGCACTGAAATTGTATCTATTAAATTTAACAAACTACGTCAATAAATCAACATCTTACAGAAATTTAACATTAAACCTGCTGTTTTACATTGAGATATTACATTGAGGTGTTATATTGATATTTCAGCTCAGTTCAGTCGTTCTGTAAGCAGTTAAACTCGATATGTAGATGCAATTTTAGAACCTATTGGGTTTCATAACAACAAACTAGAGCACAGCTTTGAAATTTTGGCTACATGAGTTAAAAAGATTTCGCTTGAATGTTTTTCATGGTAATTCATGATGTGACCAGACGGGTTATAGAACAAAAATAAAACCTGGCCACTGCACTAATGAGGCGTCAAGTACAGTACTGTGAAGAAGTATTTGCCCCCTTCCCAATTTTCCTTTTTTTCATATTTGTCACACTTGAAGGTTTCAGATAATCAAACTACTTTAAATATTAGACACAGAGAGCCCAAGTAAACACAAAATGCTGATGCTTTATTGAAGGAAAAAGCCCTACCTTTTCACAGCCTGTGTGAAAAAGTAAATGCCTCCTACTATTACTGAATCAACCATTTATCCAAATTCAACTGACTACTGGGTTTAATTTCACTAGCCACACCCAGCTGGTCACTTAAGTAGAACCTGTCTGGGAATGTGAAGCAGCTAGAAGGTCTCAAAAAACAGCACATGATGTTACATTCTACACAGATTCAAATACAGATGCAATACAAAGTCATTGAAATCTACCAGTCTGGAAAGGGTTACAAAGACATTGCTAAGGCTCTGTGACTCTAGTGAACCACAGTGAGAGCACACTGATGACTCATCCAGGAGGTCACAAAAGAACCCAGACGAACATCTGAAGAACTGCAGGCTTCATTTACCTCAGTTAAGATCAATGTACATGATTCCACAGTAAGAAACACACTGGGCAAAAACAAAAGACTTTTGGGATAATATTCTGTGGACTGACCACTTTTTGGAAGACATTTTGCAGCCATTACATCTGCTGTAAAGCTTACACCACATTCCACCATAAGAACATCATACCAACAGTCAATCATGGTGGTGGTATTGTGATGGTCTGGGGCTGAACGCCCACCCGTCAGTTTGTGACCTAAAGCTCACGCGCAGTTGGGTTATATAGCAGGACGATAAACCGAAACACACAAGCAAATCCACCTCTGAATGGCTCAAAAACCCTAAATTAACATTTTGGAGTGGCAGAGTCAAAGTAGTAGGCAGTTTAATGAAACAGTGGCATGTTAGTGTCACCCTCATGTTGACAAACAGCAAAATCAAAGGTGACCAAAGCCCAGAATCAAGACTGGATTCTGAAGGATTCTCATATCTGCACTAATGAAGCAATTAAACACATCTGAGTAATCACAAACACCTGTAAAGTGTGTTTAAAGGTAAAATGTAAAAATACGCCACATGTGGAGTACAGAGGAAAATAAAAAATGGTATCAAACCTTATCTTCATCACAGAAAATGAACTAAACTGAAACACTAGCAAAACAAAATCCCTGAGTGCTTGTGCTGCATCTACAAGAGACATTTGCTGAGCTGCTTCTGCCGACCTATCTTAGAGGACATAAAACACTGTGTGAGGTCATACTGATGTTGAAGTGAAGCCTCAGCATCGAGCGGTATACCATATAGCTTTGACGCATTTCCTATTTACAGGCTGTTCTAAATCTGTTAGAACTTCAAACCCACAGAAAGCTTCACAGGACAGTACACCACATTTTAGTTTTAACACACTTGGCCTCACAAGTCTTTTCTGAACACAATGCTGTGCAAACACTAAAAATCACCAGTTTTCCACTGTAATACACACACCAGCGTTCTGATGTTTGCATTTGTCTTTAGAAAGGAAAGGAATGGACCAGCTCAGTGCACTAGTGCACCAGCTGTTAATCCCTAGAGAATGTTCTAGGGATTAACAACAATCAAACACAGGTGTGGTACACCAACCAAACATGTCTGTATGTTTGTGTTGGTGTGTTGACTCCAAAATTCCAAAATGCACCACCTTCATGAATTGAAGTGTCTTAAGTTATTCTAAACAGTAATTAGTTATTCTCTTTGAGCAGCATTTCAAAGCAGCATGAATGAGACAAAGAAACTCTCATGAACATGGATGCACTTCTTTGAGGACTATCGCATTTGTTTGACAAGTAGGCAAACGTGATTATAAAACACTGAGATGAGGGATAAACATGTAGGAACTATTTAATACAATAATTTTTTTTTTAAAATGAATCGTGTTTCATTCTCATAATGTCAAATATGACCCAGGCCTGAGAGACACAGCACGTTATGTTGTGCAGCCTTTAACCTCAGTTTTGAATGCAAACAGCAGGAAAAGATCTGATCACTGTCCCTCCCTATCAGCACTCTGAAGTGTGAACCTGGTGCTAACGCTGCAAACTGTTTATTCAAGCTGATCATGTCAGTACTGAAAAAGCCTGGGCCCCTAACCACATCCTCAGATGTGGCTGTGTCTAATCAACTGACAGCTCCTTTTGACACCCTGGTGTTCTTTTTCTTGAGAACATGTATGACGGCTACTGTAACCATGGCTTAGCTACCGCAAACTGCAGCAGCCATTAAATGCACTGTGCAAAATGGCAGTTGTAATGGCAGCTGTATCAAGTTGTGCCAGTGGCCAGTAAGAAATATACCAGGTAAGGTGGCAGGTCTAGTGGCGGCTTATTCAAGTTGTGCTGCCTTACGTTTGCATTAAACTACATGCACTTCATGGTTAGATGTTATATAAGGCTTCCTAGATTCCAACAAAGAAGTCTGGAATCCCTGAAAGGCTGTGCAGAGTTTTTTTGTGGCAGCTCTGCCTATAAGCTTCTTATGCTAGTTCACATTAATAGGTGTATTAAGTACTAGAAACAGTAAACGTTACATTCACAGCCTTCAAAATTTCATCTTCGCTGATGCCACAGTGTGTCCTGTGTGTAAAACACTATGATGTAATTACACTCCAATATCAGGGAAAAACTATACTCAAGTACTGAAACCAGAGTAAATATAATTCATTATTTTCCACCTCCAACTAGAGCCTATTATACAAAGACGATTTACAAAAATCAACATATTAAGGTTTACACCACGCAATTCTATTCAGTCGAACAGAGTAAAGCCGGCATATACTGACACTGCAAATCATACTGTGACAATCGAGGGGTCAACTTCTTCTCCAGGGCGTAAAGGGAACCCAGTTCAGCGCAGACACATGATTCAGTGAACTGAAGTCTTAAAATCCTTACACTTAAACTGTCTTGCTTGGTTAATGTAACGTCTGCAGTCTGTAGATGAGGATAAATCCGATACACCAGCTCATGAGGTACTTACCACACAACACCTTTTGTAGTCAGGGATCACCAACAAAGCATTCTAGAGCAAAACCGCCAGCAAGTCAGACTCACACAAACACAACAAAGGCAGACCATAATTTCCTCTCAAACACAGAACCACACAATGCTATACCAAGATGCTGTCAACATGCTGAAAAGGTAGGCAGGTGTGTTCCAACCATACAGCAGCTGGGGCTCAGCTTGACTAACATTAAAATTAAAATTAAATCCATATTCTACAGGGTCTTTTTCCACAGGAACCATGTGTTTCTCACTTCTGAATTAATGGAGAAGATTGTCACTGTAGTCAGTAAAGCTCAGGCTTTTAAGCTTCCTTCACTACCAGTAGCCAACACTTCATTACAAGTCCTAGCATATTATTTAATAACAGTGGGGTATGATTGTGCATCCCATCAGTTTCTGAAAGTACTATGTGCCTAAATATCTGGTATGATGACAAACATCTTTAAGTGCAGTGTCCTTTCTAACTCACCTCTTTGCTAGTAGGTCCTGCCTGCTGACTGTCCTCCTGACCTCCTCCTGCC